CTGGGTCGAGAGTGCGGCACTGTCTTGGCAAGGTTTCGGCGCCTGGCCCTGAGGGTCTGGGGGCCATGGTGTGTCCCCCACCACGGTGGTGAGGACCCCGCATGCATGTTCAGGCTCCAAACCATGGCCCCATCTGAGGGAGGCAAAAAGCCACTCTGACCATAAGTCAGCAACAAAGCCGATTAGCAGCAGCACTCTAAAGCCAGGGGTGCTCTGGGGAGAGGGTCAGCCTGCCAGCACGTGCCACTGACGGACGCACAGACAGAGGGACTGACCCGCAGGGAGGGAGAGACCAGCAGCACACAGCAGAAGTGACAGGGACGTGAAAGGAAGGAGCATTTCATTAAGTCTGAGCTCTTCTCCCCAGGCCTGTTGGGAATCCCTCCAGAAGTCCCAAATTCACAGCGGAATCCATCTGCAACCTGTATTTCTGCTGCAAAGTGCCATTGTCCCTCTGTTTATTTTGGCAGGAGGCTTTGCCACACAATTCCCAGCTCTCCAGGCACCATTTCTTCCCACGATAGGATTTTTTCCCCTCTTTCCTTGCCTTAAATACCTCTTGGGAAGGCAACAGTTAAGGCTGGGACCCGCTTGGCTGAGCTCTCCCAGCCTAAGCCCAGCCCGGGCACAGCAATCCTGGGGACACTGCTCCGTCCTGTGGATGAGCACGGCAATGGCAGCGCTGGCTCAGCATCCTCGAGGGAGCCCCAGCACCCAGCATCAGGCACCCAGCGCCTCCTGCCCGTGGAGAGACACAGCTTCACCTCCTTCCAAAACAGTGCTGGGCCAGCGAGGGGAAGGTTTGCAGGAAGAATTAAAAGCTGATCAAATACAACCACTGCTGCTCCCCACCGCCCTGGCAAGCTCGTATGCTTGGCCAGGGAGGTAGTGTGATAGAGGATTTATTTCCTTAACCCTGTTAGGGGTTCTCATTAAAGGGAGAAATAGCGAGGCCGATAGCTGGGGGCAAACAGAAGAGCCACATGAAGCTCTGAGCTGAGGACTTCAGGCTCATTGCAGCAGAGGGTCATATCTGGAGCTCTTTGCTGAGGAAGAGCAGGCAGGGGTGGGAGCTGTGGTTGTCTCACACATCAGCAAGGACTACACAAGGTTCAAACCGAGTGAAAGACCCTGGGTGACAAAGCAGGGTAACAAAGCAAAGAAGATGGGTACGGCCAGGTGAAGGTCTGCCAAGGAACCCTGGCTGGGACAGGGATGGGGATAGAGACAGGGCTCCTGCAACCCCACTGATGGAAACCTCAGGCAAATGCAGCGCTCCATTGCACCAGGAAATTAAACTGCCCTGCTTCTGCTGGTTCAAAGCTCCCACACACTTCTATTTCACCAAGCACAATAGAGAAGAAAAAAAGGAGACCTTAAATGAGGCTCCTCCAGAGCCTGATTCAGAGTGGGAGCTGGTTTCCCGGACTATCAAAGGAGCCTGCAGGGATCAGCCTTCCAAGTGAGGCATCCAAGTCAGGTGATGAGAGTTACAAACCCCTCGGATCATCTCTGCCACCCCAGTGGGTGACAGTGTCTCTTCTGACAAGACCTACCGCCTCAACTTCTCCTGCACGTGCCAATCCTGCTCTGCCCACCAATACCTGCACCACACACCTCATCTGAAATTCTCTGGCTCCTGTTGGGACTCTGGGCTGAGTCTAGAGACACACAGGGATGGGGACAGCCCCCACGGCAGCCGTAGGACGTGCCGAGCTCTGGGATACAAGGCTCACATCTGAGACCGCCACGCTTCACTACCTGTGAGCACTGGGACGTGGCAGCCCACACCCTGCATTTCAACTTCTAAATAGCTATGGGGAGGCACAGGCAGTTCCTGTCCCAGCACCGAAAGCTGCTTACCTTCACCAGCAGGGCCACGTAGCACTTGAAGGCAGCCAGCTGGTCTCCCGAGAGCGCGGCGGCGCGGACGGCCTCCACGCGCAGCGAGTAGTGCAGCGTGGACTCCAGGTCGGCCACGTACAGCTTGGAGCTGGGGAGGGCAGCGCAACAACGCTCCGTCAGCCCGCTACTCCCCACCCCCAGGCACCCAGCCACCACCTGGGGTTCCTCCCAGGGGAAAGGCACGGTCCCAGCCCGTCGCCCACCCACGGCCCTGGCGCCTCCCAGCCTCCCACAGGCCTAGAGTGCTGGAGGGGATGTCTGACCGGTCAGCTTGCTTCGGCTGCGGCGCGCCGGTCTCGTTGGAAGCGCCGATGGTCGTGTTCAGCTTGTAGGAGCCGCGGGTGACGCCCGAGAGCGTGCGCAGGTAGTAGGTGTAGAAGGAGCGTGCCTCTATGTGCCTGCAAAGGAGAGGCCGTGAGCAAGATCCTCTTCCCTCCCAAACAGCCCTCAGCCCCCAGGAGGAAGCAATGGAGACCAAAGGCTTAGCCTGGTCAGCAACTCTGGGCAACAACTGTGGGGTGGTCTGTGCTCTCCATCTGCCCCAGCAGTGGGTATCCCAGCATGTAACCTGGAGCAGAGCCAAGCCCCCAGGAAGCTGTGCTGTGCCACCTCCAGGCAGATGTGGCAGAGGGATGGCTCAGTCACGAGCCATTTTCCCTTCTGCCAGCTCCAGGCAGGGCAGGCAGCCCTGTTCTGTGCCCACCAGCAGCCTCCTGTCCCCTGCCAGCCTGCCCAAACCAGCCACTGTCTCCTTCCTAATGAGCTTTCTCACAGTTAAAGGAGAACAGAGATGGGGCACAAGCCTGGCACCCTACCAGGGTCCCCAGACCTCCCCTCCGTGCCCCACACTCACACGGGCAGGCGGGAGAAGGAGCCGTTGCGGAGGAGCAGGTAGCCAGAGGGGAAAGTGGTGACTCCAAACTTCTGCACGAGCTCCTCCTCGCTGCTCAGCACCCTCCTCACTGCCACATTCTCGTACTGCAACATGTCCAGTGCCACCTGCAAGACCAGCAGCCCCGCGATCAGATGGGGAGGCAGTGCAGCAGGGCTATTCAGCACACTGGGTAACACTGTACAGCTGCACAGCTGCAAAGCAGCGTGCAAGCCCACTGGGGAGGCTGCTGGGAGAGGATTTCCCTGCCAAAGGCACCCAGGAGATATTTGGGACATGGACTTCAGGATAAAAGAGGGATAAATACAGCTGTACCCACCTCTCTGCCCACGAAGGAGTTGCTCTTCTCAAAGATCAGTGCCAGGTACTTGTCCTTGTTCCTCTGGAAGAAGGTGCGAATTTCCTCCGCGCTGCAAGAGAGCAGAGGACAGCAGTGGGTGCCGGGGCAGCGGCGGGATGCTCTGTCCTCCCACCCCAAAGGAGCTTGGCCCTCGGCCCCTTGGCAGGGGATGCAGGTATAGGTTCAGCCCCACTGAGCAGGAAATTCCTCCCTGCTGAAGTTCCCAGCCCAGTTTTCTGCTCTGGTTCACAGGCTTTCAGAAAACCCACCGGGGTCAGCCAAGGAGGCAGAGAACAAAGCACAGGCAGGGCAGGGCAGGAGGGAGCTGCACCCTTGCCTGGGGAAAAACAGCAATGAACCTGAACAGGGGCTGTTGCTTTTTTGGCTAGGACATGGATGCACTGGAGACCTGAAGCATGTGCCCAGCATGACTGTTGCTTTGGGAAAGCCAAATATTCCCCCCGGCACAGCAGAGGAACTGTCTGAGCTTGGCAAAGACCACTCGGGTCCTAACAAATTTGTACCAAATCAAGAAAACCCTCTCTTGGGACAGGAAAAAGCTGCTA